AAATCAACTTTAGTCTACAAATTTTACTAAAGAAAGTTATTGCAGTGTTCCTGAGAACTAGGAAGATAAAAAAGTGCTGCAGCCCGATAGTTTCATACAAATTGAGTGACAGCAGAGACTTCAATCACTTTCAGTAGAGACTATGCTACGGGCAGTAAATAGTTGTATCCTGCTGCACTCCTTACCGGATCCGTGAATATCCGGTGTATACAGGTGGGTGCTCGTAGTGACCACGGATGGCATCGTGAACACTATATGAATATCAAAGATTTCACCACAACACCATTCCAAGTGATCAGCAAAAGTCCATTTTAATGAAAAATTGCCAATTGCAAGCGCTTTTGGGACATCAAAGGGTCCCCTTCAGAATGATGAGCCTGATGAAGGGGACCCTTTGAGGCCCCGAAAGCACTGGCGACATTTTGATATGTTAACCCCAATGCAATAATACCATGACCATCGGACATCTAATCAATAACAAAGCTCTACAGAACCTGCCGTTACCAACTGACTTATCTATACACTATCAACTTCCCTATCCCTAATGGCCAAGTACTTTTCTGAAGTAGCTCTAAAAACTGATTTTAGTCTCTCTACTAAAAGACTAATTATAGAGTCATTTTAGGTACATACACAAAAAGAAATGCTGGAGGGGGCATACCTCCATCAACAACACAAGAACTTTACACACTTAGTGATTGTTTCATACAAAACATAAAAGTGGGTGGCACTCAAAAGTTTGGTTGAGGGAGAACACAGACAGATAACTCTACATCAAAAGAGGTTGCTCGGGGAGATCCCCATACCCCCTCTTTGAAGGTTCTCACACAAGGGTCTTGGTGGTCACTTGTAACATAAGGATCCAAGGATTTAGGTAAAAATAGACTCCAGGAGCACGCTCTGTGTTTCACTCTATCAGTAGCAAGCTGAAGGCTAAAACAATTGAAACTCATCCGGCCAATGACCATTTCTTCTGCAACAAACGTTCAAATGCCTTGGTAAAGCATGTTTGTTAAAAACTTGTTTACTGGATGTATTTTCATTGTTTTTAGCCTTCCGCTTACGGCTAATAAAAAGAGAGCGAACCGCTGAAAGAGCTCCTAGAATCGATCTTCCTTTACTTGAATACTAGTGATTATGTCACGGAGTATTAAAAGTGGTTTCTTGCTACAGAAACAAGACAAATGAAAAGGTAATGCTTGGACATGCTCTTGAGGGGGAGAGGGAGGTTTGGAGTAATTTAGGGAATAACCCGAGTTTAGATAAAATGTAAGAAAACTTTTAAACAAAAAGTTGCATACATGTTTGTAATAAAAAATAAAAGTACTTCTGCAATTATTATTTTTTTTCTATGTACATCCCATTCTCCAAATATCCACTGCTGTTCCAAATGTACTACACTATCCACCTGCCTATTTCTGCTGGAGAGGAAGACAGATTCATTTCTCATCATTCAGTGCAACAGCTCACTGCACACATCCCTTCCTATCCATCTTGTCATTGCACTGCATCCCCTTCCCATACAGAACAGCAGACAAAGCTAAGGCCTGGTTCACACCTGGGCGTTTTGTAGCGCGTTCCTACGCTCTGCAAAACGCTCAAACACCGAAATCCCATTATTTCCTATGGGTATGGTTCACACCTGAGCGTATTACAGGCCGTATGAACGCGCTACCAAACGCCCTACGCCCAAAGAAGTACAGGAGCTTCTTTGGGGCGTTTTTGTCGCGCGTTTCCATTGGGATACAGCCAAGTAGCCCTCGGAAACGCGCGCTTGTCGCACGCTTTTTACAGCGAATCGCGGTAAAAACGCACGTCACGAAACGCGTGACAAACGCGCATATTCTATACGCCTAGGTGTGAAACCAGCCTTACCGTTTGACAGGAGTCTAGGTTCTAACTCCTAGTCAGTCAACTGCACAAAGTGTTTTTACTTTTGTCTTTAGCCATGTTAGAACTTCCTCGTGATCTTATAGATAGCCAACACGATAGACTAGAAAAAAAACACTTATTGCCGGGGTACACATACCGTGTTTCCCCGAAAATAAGACACTGTCTTAGATTTTTTTTTGGCTCAAAAAAAACAAAACAAAAAAAAAAAAACACACTAGGTCTTATTTTCGGGGTAGGTCTTATTTTCAGGGAAACAGGGTATTTAGTGCTACTGTTGCTCCTAATAAGGTTTAACAACTAATGTATACATGGCACTCTCCATTAATACCACGTGGATGTTTAGGGTAGGAGTTAGTGCAATGAACACGGCTGCAGGTGGTCAGATTTCAAATAAAAAGAAATGACACAATGATATTAGATAGGACACCAAAAAGGTGAATATACAGCATCTTATTTTATAGGCTGTGTCCCTGTCACTTTAGCCCCTTTACAACCCATGATGGAATAATTCCGTCATGAGTCCTTAAGGGGTTAAACAAAAGCCGCCGGGAATCTGTTCATATTTGTAGAGCCGGCTTTACAGTAGAAGAGATTCTGGAAACTCAGCTGTTGCCAGATCGCTTCTACGGGCCAGTAAAATGGCCGCCCACCCACGCCAGGAGGAAGAGGGGAGTAGAGCGGCGAACTTCCGTTCACTGATCTCCTCCCCGTACTATGGGATCGGGGGCTATGAGTATTACATCACTTTCGGTCCCATCGCTGTCAGTGCTGGGCTCCTGAAGCCCGAGCAATAAGCTATTGATGTGATAACCACACTTCAATAGCGTAAAGGAGAACTATGAGATGAGTGATTTCCACTCACCTCATAGTTCTAGCCGACCTGTGACAATGAGACTGTCACAGGTCGGCTCAGTAGATCGGGAGGTGAGCGAACACATACCGGGTTCGCTCACCTCTCGATCCTGTCACGGCTCTCTGCCGTGACAGGGGGAGGGGCTGGATTCCCCTCTCCCCGCTCCGATCTGCCAGCGCTGACTGGCAGAACGGACGGGGGAGGGGGCGGGTACAGCTGGTTCTGCCTCTAGATAGGCAGAGCCAGCTGTCACTCACGCAGCTGGGCGGATCCCGACGTCCAGGTCGGGATACGCTCCGGCTGCGGCGTCTCAGTATACCGCGAGCTGTAGCTCGCGGTATACCGAGCTTAGTGTAACGGGAGGACGCTAGTTTGTGTCCTCCCGTTACCCTAAGGAGAACTATGGGGAAAAACACTGACCCCATAGTTCTCCTTTAAAGTGCAAAGGTGATAGCCGGAGTCTTTTGGACCCCGAATATCACCATAAAGAGGACCTGTCACTGCCAATATGCTAAACACATGGGGGGCTTTTAAAATGTGGATTAGAACATGTAAGCAAAAACAGAAGAAAAAAAAAGGCCTTGGTCCTTAAGGGGTTAAATTCAGCATCATTACAAGTTGTTGTTTTTTTCGGAATTCCCTGTGCAGGAGCACTTAACAGCATTACCAATCTTGACAGGAATAATAGATAATTTTTAAGTTCCCTTCTAAATTCTCTTTTCTGTGCCCTTAGGCTCTAGTCAGACCGGATGCGTTGGAGCTGCGCTGGCCGTAGTTTCCAGTGCAGCCTTAACGCAAGACACGACAATTTGCTTTGTCATGGATGGTGCCTATTCACACCTCTGCACTGCGATAGGAACGCGGTGGTGTGCTCTGAAAAAAAGTAAGGCATGCCTTTCTTTTATTTTTTCTCAACACAGTTGGATGCAATGTAGTACAACCACGTCGCACTCCGCTGTGCCCGTAGAACTGAATGAAACGCCACATGTTCTAAGTTCTAACTAAAAACTAAATAAAAAAAACAGTGCAATGCTGGGATAACCGCAGAGTCTGATGTGAATAGCCCTTTAAAGTGCATTAAACACGGTCTCACCATTGTGTTTAAATGGCCTTATAAAATGCCTAGGGTGTCTAAGGCTAGCGCATTTATCATATCCGGCATTTTGCAGACAGAACTCAGAACCAATCCAAAGACAATCAGGCTACAGAGACCAATGACATGTGCCAGCATATACTCAAAAGGATGAATATCAGGCAGACTGGCCATTTCTTACTATGGTCTGATCCTTTTTCAGGCGCTTGGCAAGATATATCAGAAGTGGCAAACACAGCACTGCCCCATTCACTAAACCGGACCATTTATGGGTAATATTTATGTGATCTTTAACACGCTTCGATTCAGAAGGATGGGAAGATTTGAGCTGGTCCTTGGTTAGGTCAGTAACCCTCATTACAGTACAGCTGTTACTTGACACTTTACCTTTGTTTTCTAAGGGAATCTCAATTCTACCCAGTCAAATAACATGACCTATTTCTAAACCCTGAGCCTGCCTAGCAGGCTCGCTATATGACTCGCTTTATGAAGTAGAATTTCAGATGTAGCAACTATAATAGTTGCAACTCTGCCAGTTCGCACGCATTTCATTGATAGGCTTAGCACCATAAACTTCAATCGCCAACGGCCTATATTTTGGCTTGAGTTCCAGTTTAAAACAAGTCAAACAAATGCTACCTTCAGTGGGCTAAAAGTTAGTTCAAGTTATTTGGAACAATTTTCTTGGATTACCAAGGTAGCACACAGGGTTACCTTTTCCTGCCAGGGTCGTTCGTTTTTGCATACATGTTAAAATACGTTTTGTGACATTTCAAATAATCTTTCAACTGCGCAGCATTATTTTGCATTTGCAACAGTAAAAAAGCTCCAAACAGACGCACATTCAAAAAGTGCTCCAGAGCACACCTTAAACTTACGCAAAGATGACCCATACCCTCAAGTCCGCTGAGCACCTCAGGACTATTCAGCTGCCATCCCGGAGGTTCCCAGCAAGCTTGCAACAGTTTGAGAGAATTTAGAGATTGAAAAATAGAGACAATTCTCCTTATGAAGGCATTTAGGAATAAAACAAACTAAGATAATAAAACTGTCGCTATATATGCACTAGAAATAAGGGATATGACATTTTGAGATAGTGATGATGCGCCAACATCGATGAATCACCCCTCTATATATATGCAAAACTAGTACATTACTTACCAACCATTGCGCTAACTTCTCCAGCCATCAGTAAATCTACCGAGCTGTTGTAAAGGTTTACATCGATGATACCCTTTCGGATAGTTTCTCCAACCTTTGCTCCGAGTAACACCGAGCCAGTTGTTTCAAAGATTGATGCCAATATGCAAGCCTGCTTTAATGTAACTACTCCAGAACCCACAGCGGTGCCAAATGAATTAGCCACATCATTGGCACCCACAGAAAATGCCAAGACGAAGGCTATGATAAAGCCAACGATAACCATCCATAAGTACTCATCAAGAACCATTTTGGCAGTTTCTTTTTCCTTCCGGGGACAAAAGAAAAGATAACAATGCAATAGAAATAGTAAACTATAGTAAAACTGAATGGACTATGTTCCAGAGTATGAAAATGTGCCGAGCAAAGCTATGTAAACAAAGATCAGCTCAATCTGGAAACTGCTAGTTAGTGTTCAAGACAATGAACACACTGCTAACTGAGGATTTTAAAAGTACTGTCAAAGTTTCTTTGGGAGTGCTCAGTCAACAGTAGAATGCATTCCATATTTTTATCCCAAAATGAGTTAGCTTGACTTTCTTCTTTCCTGAAAGAAAAAAAAAAAAAGGGAAATGTAAGTATTATATTTTTTAAATGAATGCAAAATGTTTTTTTTATTTTAGCAAAAAAAAAAAGTGGCAAATAATCTGCTAGAGGGAGATGAGCTGTAGCATGTGACATTTCAAACGTAAAAAGAACAGAAATAAGATTATTTATAAGACCCAGGCTTTGTTACATAAGCGTGTTTGAAGTTCAGTACTTCTTGACAAAACATATAAACTGCAGGATAAAGTAGAAGGAAATAACTAAAAGCAAAACAAAAAATAAATTGGCAAAAAATAAAACCTCTGCATCCATATTATCCTAATGACATAAACGTCTAGGTCATGAAGATTCCGTGTCATAGGGCAATGGCACAATACATATTACATTATGCAGCAAACACACAAAAGAGTTACTGACGGGTGAATCAGTCCCCCAGCCTTTTTTAGTGCTCGCCATTTGCACTTTGTGAATAACTTCACAATGTCTATGTTCATGTCAGTACATGATAAGGCAAGAAAGGAGGAGGTGGTATTTGGTGCTACAATAGATGTTTAAGAACTGCTAGCATGCTTTTGATTACATTGTGACAGACTCCGTATCAAGCAAATTACTGACACATTCAAGAGCGTTGAATGCAAATTCAGCTGCCTCTTATTAACAAAAGGATATGCAGTTTGTTTTACGTGTTTTAATTATCCATGCCATCCTGGAAAGCCATTGTAACAGTTATGCAAAGTCTAAGACAATTTTTGTTCAATGTGCACAATTAAGAAGTGGGAAGGGGTATGTTTTATACTGGAGCATTGCTCTGAATTTATTAGGCCCCTTTCAGACGGGTGGTCCGATCAGGCCTTCCTGTCAGTTTTGTAGGCGGACCCAATCAGATGCCCAATGTAAATCTATGGGCAATTGGATCTAAATGGATGGCGTCCGTTTACATCTGGTTGCCCACGGCTCCAGCCAGGTCCAGAAAAACAAACAGAACAATGTTCTGTTTCGCCAGACCCGAGTTTGCCAAATTGGGGGTAATGTGATGTAAATGGACACATGTCAGTTAGACCAGGGGTATGTAACTTTGGCTTTCCAGCTGTGCTGAAACTACAAATCCCATAAGGCATTGCAAGCCACAGGCATGACTCCCAGAGGCAGAACCATGATGAGATTTGTAGTTTCAGCACAGCTGGGGAGCCAAGGTTGCCTACCCCTGCCATGGACCATCATGGGGTCCAATCACTTTGGTTTTGGATGGACATGGATGTCACAGCGGTGACATCTGATCCATACTGCTGTGATCAGGAGGGGATCCATGGACAGATTGTGCCCATTTGGTTGGGCAGATTGAAAGGGACCAAATCAATCTGTGAGGTTTAAGTGTTTGTTTTCGTCTAAAGATGAAAATAAGTTATATTGACCTGAACCTCGCAGCCAGCTTGCTGTTAGTCTGGTCCCTGAAGCCTCTCTCTCCTCCTCTGCTCCTGTGATGGTGCTTCCCTCAACAGCCTTTACAGTGTAGAACACAATGTCCCACAGGATCTTAGACCGCTGGAGCGGAAGGAGGGAGAGGCTGCAGGGACTGGACTAACAGCCCACCGGCTGCGAGGTTCAGGCGAGTATAAGGCTGGCCATACACCTATCAAATTTTTTTTGGGCAACCCGCGGCTGAACAAAAAAAAATGGACGCAATTACTCCATCGACACAGCGAGTCGATCGAGGAATCACCGCTGTTTATTCCAATACCCAATCAGAGCAGGCAACTCATTAGCTACCGGCTCTGACTGATCCAAAACATTTTCCAGTCAGCTTCAATCAGCTGATCGAGGAACGCCGGCTGAAAAGGGAGCCGACAGCCTCACACACTGTGTGAATTTCAGCCGGTCCATTAAAAACCAGCCAGTGTATGAGTACCTTAACTTTATTTTCGTCCTTAGACAAAAACGAGCACTTCACCCTTGCAGTGCGGGGGTAGCCCCACTACAAGGATTGAGAATAATTTTGTCCAGAGCTCTTCTTTAAATCGGAACACTAGGATTTGTAATTTTTAGTCAGTAAAGTTAGTTATTAGTAGATATGATTAGGTTTGGTCAAACCTGAACTTTTTCAAACCTGTAAGGAAACACCTTTCAATGGTGCCCAATCAGCTGTGACTAGGGAATACCTCTCCTGCAACTGCATATAAGCAAAGGGGTAGGCTGCTGTGATGTCATTACCCTTATATGGCCACATGAATGTATTTGGTCAATGACCTTGAATATGGCCATATAAAGTCAGCACAAGAATACCACCCTTTTGCTTATGTGCACCTATGTGGCATCAGCCCGCACCTAATTGGGTGAATGGTCCCATGTCCCTTCCGCGTTCGCCATTTTATGGGATTACAATAATACTGGACAATTTTAAGAGGGACTGGCACAAGCTGTACTTAAAATACATGTAAAGTAGAAAGAAAACTTCCACGAAAATACTTTCAGGTCTATTTACAAAAGGGTAAAGAGTTTGAAGAGAAGTGAACAATCTAGGACAACATAGCAAAACTGGAAAGTGAGCAGAATTGGAGAACTTTTCCAAATCAGCTATGTTATCCTGGATTGTTCACTTCTCCTGCCTTCTCCAAACTCTTCACCCTTTTGGGAATAACCATGTTAGTTTTGCAGAGCACGAAGTAAAATAAAACTTTTTTTATTGTATAGACTAAAGCAATCATGTTACACCCATATTCATGGTGTAATATGATACAAAACACATCTGCAACCCCTCCCCCCCCCCTTTTTTACAAGTATACTAGGTTTCTTCTCCCCTCAGTATTCTGTATATCTGCAACCACGACAGAGGGGCTCGTAGTTCTCAACAGAGTACCAGTATAGTGAGGTCTTCGCACTTTCACTCCAATTACACTTCCTACCATCCCTGTAATAAAGTGGATACCCCTATCCAGACAGAGGCTGGGAGGAAGAGACTGCAGAAGTCAGAGGATTGTACAAGTGATCCACTGAACATGGCTGTAATGCTTTGCAGGCTCCAAAACAAATAATCAATAAATGCACATTGTTGTTTTTTTATATTAATGTGTGGACTGGATTTTGCCTTTAAAAACTACAATTCTCCACTTAGGACCATGTCACATTATCAGCAACTTTGTAGCAAAAATGAGAACAAATGTCTCTGTTGATTTGTAGCTAGTTACAGTGCTAACATACCTGACAACAAAGCTTTACTAAGCAGCTACATATTGCTGCTGTGCCATGGTCATTGAGAACTGAAATCGGATAACATGAGCAGTTCCTGAAGCTGGTGATTTTGTTGATAGCATCAAAAGCTGCAAAAAGTCAATCGCTTAGTGAATGAGAAACAAATTGCTTGGAATTTCAATGACACAGACGTCTCATTGACTGAGTAAAAACAATAAGGAGGAGAGTGAGTCGGTAGCCACGACAAATCGCTGCTACAGAATTCCCAGTGTGACGTGGGCCTTTGTATAGGTTATTACTCCCTGCATTGTGCACATCCTGTGGACTAGGTAGGAAACTTCCTATGGATGCGTGAATGCTCTAGCAGCAGCTGAGTGTCACAATTTTACTTTAGTGACTACAGCAGAATATGCCAGCACACTACATTGGTACGGCTGCTTTTAGTCTAACTCAGGAATGCCAGGACAGGGTGACAATGGTGCAGCTTAACCGAATAAGTGTTGTCACCCCCAAATACACCTTGCTGACAACATTTCATTGAAAGCAGGCAAAAAAATTAAGATTAAACTATGACATAACAGGAATAACTGCAACAAGATATTTGGTTTAAATGATTGGGTACAGCTACAATTTAATTCAGGAGCCAGCAGGATTGTTTTTTGTTTTTTTTTGTAAGAGCCAGCTCCATTGAAACCAAACTAGAAAAAACTAAGTTAGGCACCAGCTGTAAGGCCTGGTTCACAGCTGGGCGTTTTGTAGCGCGTTCCTACGCTCTGCAAAACGCTCAAACACTGAAATCCCATTATTTCCTATGGGTATGGTTCACACCTGGGCGTATTACAGACCGCATGAACGCGCTACAAAACAGCGAATAACACGACAAACGCACATATTCGATACGCCTAGGTGTGAACCCAGCCTAACTTCTAGGCTGGG